TGCAGTAGTCTATACGGGATGTAACCAGAGCGTGGACCACCGTGGCCAAGTCAGACTTCCCAAGGTGGTCTGTTTATGGTCATGTTTTGATTCTATTTTTTTCCACGTACCTTGTTTTATGGAACAGATTTGAACTGTTTGGATTTTGCTTTTGGAATGTTTTCTCCCATTGTCAGTTTGGTTTGGCTTATTACCTCTTGACTGTTTTTCCCATTTCTTATTGGAATTAGCCTTTCTTATTTCCTATGACGATTTTTCCTTTTTTATATGTGTTTTTCTCAATAAACAGTTTTACTACTGCTTTTGGATTCCTGGTTGGTGTTGCGGGCAAGGGGAATTCTGGCCGGGGTGCAAGAGGGGGATTTGCATGTGTGGATGCCGTAATTGCTTTTTGGAGTGTCATCGGGTCTTGCTTTCTCCCTGCTTCCAGGTCTTCTTAAAAGGCATCAACAAGCCTTTGGCACACCCTGAGGGCACTATTGTTGCGACAGCCAGAATCGTAAACAACCTCAAAGCTTATGTGTGAGTATAGCCAGCCTTCAACGTTCACGGAGGTTAAAGACCAGAATCCCCCTTCTATACTGAATTAGTAAAGGTACGGATACACCCAGGTCTTCACATTACATTGTGTTTCCTTCCTGAAGAAAGGAGATGAAGTCTCGGCCGTTTGATGCCTCTCCTGTTCCACTGACTGTGGTCAACTTCCCAGATCCCACAATGGAGGATTTCGACGTCCCACGAGTCAACAATCATGGCTATCCTCAGGTATCAAATGCATGATTCTTGAGATGGTTCTCCATTGAGCTGTTGGTGGTGCAACCTAAGGGCTAAGAATGTAACCCTAAAGGGTGGAGAAGGTGGGAGAAGGTTGCCTAAGCAGAACAACCCAATTCTCAAGCCCTGCTGATGATGGTTGAGGTAAGTAAGCTGAGAATGGCTTTTCTATATGTTTTCATCCTGGAAGATGCAACCACTGATGGAAATGAACCATGGGATGGTGTAGGTACCTTGGATGTCCCTTTGGTCTCTTCCAATTCTATTACTCTATGCTTTCAGGAAGTGGGGCCAGTCCTACCATTAAGCAAAGTGAGACATCCACCTTGAGCTACTTAAGAGATATCCATCTTAAGTAAAGATATTGGGAGGTAGGGCTGGAATTTCCTGTCCACGCCTTTCTGTTGGAGGATCAAGCAGAGGCCACTATGAACCAGGGGTGTGCAATTCGGCAAAACCCTGGGCCATTTTCGGTGCCCAGTTTTTGCCCCCCCCCCATTCCAGGAGTGCCACCAACTTGCCTCCTGTTGAGTCAAATCATGAATCCAGGTAGTATGGGAATGTCAGGACCGAAAGCCAACATCTCTGCCGGGATCTGAGGAGGGTTCTTCCTCGCTTCATCTGCCACTTCTGGAGGTTCTTAGGGTTTCCACCCGAGATCTTCTACACGCAAAGGATGTCATCTGATTTAGAAGCATAGTCCTTGGAAAACCCACCAACGAGAACACACCAAAGTTGTGTGCGATGCTGCTTGTACTGCTGAGGGATGTTTGCCTGGCGTCGCCTTTCTCCTCTCCTTCAGAGTGCTGTGCTATTCTTGGCCGCAGGAATCAATGTGCGGATCATTACTCCAACCTGTTTGGTATGAAGAGGACCGTGCATCTGGCAGGGCTGACCTTTTCTCTTTGAGGGTCTCGAGCAAGGCCGCTCCCCTTGTTTACTCTTTTGGTTTTGAATTATCATGACCAGATCTCTCTTTCTGACACAGATATAATTGACATACATTATATATATACATTATATACAATTCGATTATGTATATAATTATGTATATAATTTAAATATATACACACACACTATCTATCTATTAGGCTTGGTTGATCAAGAAAAAAAATGGTTCTAAACTCGTTTCGTATATAGGGGCGCTGGTTCCATTTTGAAATTATTTCAAAAAATTTCTTTAAAAAAAGATCGGAAATACCAGGAAATACGAATCACTTCCTTTGTTTCGTTAATGGAAGGTACCCTTCCCTCCCTCCAGAACCATTAAAATCTCGCAGTTTCCCTTCCTTCCCTTGCGGAGAGCTTCTCTCACCTTTCCTTCCCTTCCCGGCAAGCTGTCCGTCATGCAGAAGGGAGAGGTGGGCGTGGCCAAGCAGAGCCCTCCTTGGAGGTTGCTGGGGGCGTGGCCTTCAGGAACAGCTGTTCTTACCCACGCCCACCTCCTTCCTCTTTGCATTGGTGGCTTTGCAAGGTGGGCGTGGCTATGGCCAGCTCTTCTGCATCGCCGCTTGTCACCAGGGAGGTAGCCACGCCCACCTCGCAAAGCCCACCTCGCAAAGCCCACCTCGCAAAGCCCACCTCGCAAAGCCCACCTCGCAAAGCCCACCTCGCAAAGCCCACCTCGCAAAGCCCACCTCGCAAAGCCGCCGATGCAAAGAGGAAGGAGGTGGGCGTGGGTAAGAACAGCTGTTCCTGAAGGCCACGCCCCCAGCATTTACGATTCACTGCCGGAAGTCGTAAGGAAGATGGCGGACGCGGCTTCGATATGGCAAAACGCGTCGATATCGCTTCTAAAGGTATTTTATTTACGATTTCATAATGATATTAGAAATTAACGAGCTGGATCAACCAAGCCTACTATCTATCTGTATCTATCTATCTATCTAATAAAAGTAAATGTGGCTGGGGTGCCCACTTCCACAGACAGGCTCCCACTTCCACAGCTTCAACCCACGGTGCTGAGGATCCACCAGAAGCCCTCCCTCCAATGACATTTCAGGTTATAGGGAGCGCCCTGAACATGTAACCCAACCCCTGCCAAGGTCCTCCCCGAACGCCATACTGCCCACTACCCAAGGAATGCTTTCATTCGGAGATCCTTTCATCCTAGATGGTATGCGTTTCCTCCACCACAGACACTCCAGTGCAGTGGTTCTCAACCTTCGTAATGCCGCGACCCCTTAATACAGTTCCTCATGTTGTGATGACCCCCAACCATAACCCTAACATTATGAATCGCCATGTAAATAATGATCTGCAGGATGTATTTTCATTCACTGGAGCAAATTTGGCACAAATACCCGGTATGCCCAAATTTGAATACTGGTGGGGTTGGCGGGGATTGATTTTGTCATTTGGGAGTTGTAGTTGCTGGGATTTATAGTTTACCTACAATTAAAGAGCATTCTGGACTCCACCAACGATGGAATTGAACCAAACTTGACACAGAGAACTCCCTTGACCAACAGAAAATACTGGAAGGGTTTGGTGGGCACTGACCTTGAGTTTGGGAGTTGTAGTTCGCCTACATCCAGAGAGCCCTGTGGTCTTAAACAATGATGGATCTGGGCCAAACTTGGCACGGATACTCAATATGCCGAAATGTGAACACTGGTGGAGTTTGCAGAAAATAGACCTTGAGATTTGCGAGTTGTACTTGCTGGGATTTATAGTTCACCTACAATCAAGGAGCGTTCTGAACCCCAACAATGATAGAATTGGGCCAAACTTCCCACACAGAACCCCATGACCAACAGAAAATACTGTGTTTTCTGATGGTCTTTGGCGACCCCTCTGACACCCTTCGCGACCCCCTCAGGGGGGGCGGGGGGGGGGGGGGGGGGGGGGGGGGGGGGGGGGGGGGGGGGGGGGGGGGGAGGGGGGGGGGGTCCCGACCCCCAGGTTGAGAAACACTACTCCAGTGTTTCTGACTCTCTCCATTGGTGTGGAATTTGCATGATCCCGATCACCGCCTCTCCCTTAACCCTTTCCTACTCTTTTCAACTCTGTCTGCACAACAAACAGAGCAGAACTAATCAGCAACTAAGCATACTGGAGGAGTTTGGGGATTGACTCCACATGATGGAAGTTGTAGTTCACTCTGCATCTAGTCAGAGCACTGCCCCCCCCCCCCCCCACTGACAATGGACCTGGACCACATTTAGCACAAAGAACCACCATGAGTGAAGAAAATACTGGAGTGGTTTGGGGGGAATTCACCTTGATTTATAGCTATTGTAGGAACTGGGATTTATAGTTCACCTGCAATCAAAGGGCACTCTGGACCCCACCAACGATGACCCTGGATCTTACTTGGTACGCAGAACCTCCATGACCAATGGAAAATACTGGAGGGGGTTGAGGGGAATTCACCTTGATTTATAGCCATTGTAGGTACTGGGATTTATAGTTCACCTGCAATCAAAGATCACTCTGGACCCCACCAATGATGGCCCTGGACCCCACTTGGCACAAGAACCTCCATGACCAACGGAAAATACTGGAGGGGTTTGGGGACAAGGTCTTCCCCGGCCAAAAAGTGATGGTGCCTCACCAAACTACAACAGCCGTAGCATCGAGCCCTGGCAGTTGCATAGGGTGGCATTCGGTTGGAGAGAAAGGTCTTAAAGCCCAGGCAAGCCCATGCCAAGATCTCCCGGAGTGCTCCCTTTTGCATCTCTTCCTGTCGAGAGGAAAGAGGACACCGTCCAGCATTGATTCTCTTCCATTAGGAAGAAATCTCTCTCTTGGGGGGGATGCGGAGCCAGAGTGGAATATTAGCCAAGTCCTCTAAACGGGGGTTTCTCTCTGGGATGGCTGGTGGCTCTTGGGTGAGGCGGCGTGCCAGCTGGAGCCGGGGCCGAATCTAGTGAGCGATATGAATGATTTAAGGCAGGCAGCTGCGCTGAGAGAAGGACGCGCTCCCGTCCTGTTGGTTTTGTTAAAGCCTTCCAACAAATGTGGGTTTTTAGGGAACGGTTTCAGCACAGCTTTAATGTGATCAAACGGATGGGATGCATGGAAGCCCTACTGTGGGAATTTCCACAAGGAGGCATTCATTTGCGAGGGGCGCTCATTAAAGATTTCCCCTGACCCACTTCTCTTTATCACAGGACGCTGAAACTGCACAGGTGTCGTGATATACGTCTCTATAGGTTACCTGCCCATTTACAACTCAATACCAAGAATGGTCTTGATGTGATGGGTGCGGAAGTGGAGTGAGGTTTGGGAATGGACCCAATGGAGTACAGAGCAGTCTCCAAGTCCCTTTCTTTGAAGGCTGCACACCCAAGGAGACGTTTGATGAGATGAAAGAGGTTGATGGTGAGGATTCCCCATCATAGGATGCAGTCAAGAACTGGCAACGTCCGTTCCAATGTGGTTGGACTTTGGTGGAAACTTCTCCAGTTCCAGGGCGACCCCACTCTGCTCTTGATGGACACACCATCTAGCAAGTGGAGGTCCCCATTTTGGAAAATCACCACGTAACCATTCTTCATTGAGCCCAAAATGTCAAGGTGAATGAGTGGGGTCGGTGGAAAAAAATCACCCAAGACCCTCTTCACATGCACAATAATAATAATAATAACAACAACAACACTTTATTTGTACCCTGCTACCATCTCCCGAGGGACTCGGTGCGGCTTACATGAGGCCGAGCCCAAAATACAACAATACAAACAGTAATAATAAACAATACAAGCAATTAAAAATAAAACATGGACAATACAATAATGCAACATTAACAGTAAGACCACACGATTAAAAACTATGGGAAGACTAAATGTAAAATTAAAATTGAAAGTAATGCTGGAACATGGGCGAAAAAGTGATGGGGCGTTTGTGGAAAACATACAAGCGGACCTAAAAATTTAAAGTGCTTTGGAGGACAAAGTGCTAAGGGTTCGTTACTCTGGGAAGGCACACTGGAACAGCCACGTCTTCAAGCTCCTCCTAAAGACTGCCAGAGATGGGGCCTGTCTGATGTC